CCCACGTCGGCACGCTAACGCTACCATGCTAACGCTACCATGCTAACACTACCATGCTAACGCTACCATGCTAACGCTACCATGCTAACGCTCACGCTACCACGTCTGCCACAGATAGGGGAGTAAGCTGAGGGGGGGGGCAACATGCAGGTGAAAGGCTGGAATATTATAATGAGCTAGAGCTAATGACGTCAGAAACTACCCACTCCTGAAACCTCCTGATTTATCTCCTGGATTCAGACTGAGGCGGCCCACAAAAACATGACTGAGTCTTTTTTTTTCACACTTTGCCTGCCGATAGGCCCTCCACAGTCCCAAATGTACATAATCAAACGATTAAAAACTTGGTTTTGCACAATACGTCCCGTTTAAGACATAAATCATAAACCCGAAGCGTGCATAGATGTTTGATTATTTTTTTTTCAGGGCTTCGTGTTCGGAGGCCGAGAAAGAGGAGCGTCTGCAGCAGCTGAGAGACGAGCAGCAGCAGCAGCTCCTGGCCCTGCGGCAGGAGCAGTACTACAGCCAGAAATATCTGCAGAGAGAGCACATCAAAGCCGTAAGAAAATCCACCGCCAAGCATCCCCCTCAGTCTTATTTAAATCCATTCAAACTGGGCCCCACACCACCCAGAGCCAGTGAGTGGAGGAGGACTAGAGGCCATAACTTAGGTTCATTATGAGAGATAACAGAAAGGGAATATGGGCCCAACTTGGAGACTGAAATATAAAAGAAGTAACCATAAACATGCAAAACAAAAGAGATAGAACAACTACTACTGGAGAGTGAAACCAGAAGGCTTAGGAGGGTGTTAAGAGAGTGGACCAGAAGGAAAAACACTGAAGAGACTGTGGGTGAGGCCCAGAAACCAGAAATAAGGACCAGGAAAAAAAAAAAACTAAGAACATAAAAGTAAGTAAAAACACCAGAAGCTCAAGTTGAAGTTCAAGACAAATCCACGATAGCAAAATACCCAAAACTATGGCCCAAAAAAACAGTAGGACCCACAAAAATCCAAAACCTGTGGCAGATTTAAACATCCACTCCAGCTTTGTGGGAGCTCGAACAGGCCTGGGACAT